AAGTTGCCGGTAATAACCATGTGTGAGAATTTTAATTTCTGCTATTTGTGATACAAGTTTTGACAGTACTTCAAAAATACTGAATTACGATGGTTTGTACTGGACCGAGAAATCATATATGTATATGAATTCGGGCTATTGGCTATCTTTTCTTAATATGTGTAGCATTTGACTTTCATTATATGTTTACTGTAAATATGTGCTTTATACTTTTTTATAGAGATTAAACGTACTGATGTGACATAACGTAAAAAATTCTATATATTTTTTCTGGAGTCGTACTCTTTGATGATTCTTTATCATCATTCATTTATTGTTTTTTTTTATTTAGTTTAGTTTTAATGTATGCTTATGCATTATTGTACTGCAAATGGGGGGCCGTTGGGCAATCATTTTTTATTATTAAGTATTTTTATTATTTTTACTATTATTGTCACTATTACGAGTATTATACTTATTATACAAATGCAATCTGCCTCTGTGCACGAACGTTTGTTTGAGCAAGCCCGGCCATTCTTAAGGTTTGTCTCGCCACCTCAAAAATTTTCTCACCAACGTATGAGCATTAGACAGCAGCGGTGGCCGCAGTAGTAGACTCTTCGGTCTCCTGATCAGTCACCGTGCGCTGTGCGGGTTCGAGTCCCGTCCCAGGAGAAGTTTTTCTCTTGGCTATGGATATTGTGATTGTCCGTAGGTGGTAGATGGTCTCTGACTGTCGAACGCGGAGGTACCACCCGGCGGTTCTCATAGGCGGAGCCAGAATGTGTGCATGTTGCATGCACACGTGTTCCCTCGCCAGAGTCCGTGTGGCGTCCCCCCCCCCTTTCCCATGTATCCCCCTATAGCCCCACGGTACCCAATGGGTGCTTAGGCCTTAGGCCTTCGTGGTAGTTCGAGTATAAAAAAAAATTCCCATGTTTGTCACTGGCGCTGTCACAACTAACTTGATATGAACGTACGATTTTGAACTCACCTATCTCTTGCTGAAGCAGAATTAGCGGGCATGCTTGTTGGACCTGAGCCAGCTCTAGAGACGCTCGCGCAAGTCAGGAGGATAATGGGGAAGTGGATATCTGAAATGGAGAAGTATCTCCAGACATCCACGTCAGGCTCACGAGCCCATCTTAGGGACGCTTTTTTGTATCTTTGGATAGAGCCAACCTAAGGTTATTGGTGGGACTGATGGGGTAGCTGAGGATCCCATGTGTGAGCGCTGCGGGGTAGAGGAGGAATCAACGTCGCATGTTCTGTGTCGCGGCGAATTACTACAGGCTGACTATACTGAAATCCAACACTTTGGATCCTTAGAATGTTAAGCAGGTGGAACTCAGGGGAATATTCAACTTCGCTAGAAGGTCGGAGTTTGAGGCTCAGGGAATAGGGGCTCGTCATGTGCCTTCGTAGTAAAATATATACCTGAAGTTACAATTAAAGGACAATATTGATACTTTTTGCCAAAATTACTGGAGCATTAATCAATTTAAGTGTACAGGAGCAGCTTCATTTACGATCAGTTTACCCAGTGTGCACTTTTCCTATGGACCATTGGCTTACTTATTTCGAATGACTTTGATGACATTGATACCTCAAAATGGATAGTGGCATGTCGAACATGAGACGTTATGATGATCAAATTATGCCTCGCTCAAGGGGTGTACATCTGTACGTATGCGAGTATCAATGATTCTCGCTTGTTTATCTAGTTCTCCGAATCATTATGGTGATTGATATAATAAGATGCACAATGTTTAAAACATTTTTATCGTTTAAAGAACCTACTTACTTGAGTAGATTATGAAAGTCTAGCTAACCATGATGGAAAAAGTTTTTTTTAATTACTGGTTGATTTAGCACTTTAAATGTAATATGCTGTTTTCAAATTGTGCACAAGTACAAATTGTGAACCACTTCACGGATATGACTGTTGTGGATTCAGTGGATACTAAAAAAACGTAATATTCAGCAGATTCAGGTTGACAAAAACCTTAGCGTCATTACTGCTACCTTGCATAATATTTGCTATGCCCTAAACTAATCAGAAGCTTGAAAATCAAAAATATTTCAGACTTCGCCAAGAAAAATACAAATTTCAGCTTAAAGGTGTTCTGGAACTAATAATCCTACAAACTAAGAAACTAATGCAAGTTGTACAACCAGTGACTGTAAATTTAATGAGATTGTAATAAGTATATCGAATACATTCTCATCAGCTATTTTGTAAAAAAACAGGCTAATATACACTCCATAGTGCCAAAAAACTTATTTCAATATAGGTTATCCTCCATATGGCAAGTCCCTTTTTCCTTTTCAGGTTTTTTTTTTCTATCACAACACGCGCGTGCCCCTATTGAACATTCTCAATAAAAGATTCACTTAATCGGTTCCCATATGGCAGATAAAAAAGTATGCCTAACCAATTTGTCAGCAAGCTTGTTCCACCGATTTGATACTCTTAATGAAGATTTCTACTTTTCTGTAACTGAAGATTATATCCAAATGAATGGGTTTGTTAGTAACACTTAGTGACTGATTGTATCGCCACGTTACTTGGTCGCGTGGCTTTTTACTGCTACAATTTCTTATAGACCACAGATGGTCTCAAGCCGTTTTGCTCTATGTAACATACAAAAATAACATTTTTTTGCTACTAACCCGATATATCACCGTTATTGACCGCAGTGTTCTATTAAGAAGTAGCATTACTACCATGGTTAAATAATGAAAACAAAAAATAACTAGGTATATAACAGTTATTTAAAATTGTATCCTGTAAACTTCATTGTAATAGTTTGACAGTTGAAGTCCATGTTTCGAAATACTAGAGAATGATTGAGAAACGAGAAATGTTGAGTATAGCTCCTAGTGTACTTATCCTTCTTGAGTACCTTGTTATCCGGGAGAATGTTCAAACCGAATCATCTGCCTACTCCATCCCTTAATTTGAGATTGTCAGTTTGACACCAAGGATCTAGTCAATCCAAAGTAACTGTGAACTGAATTGAAAATGTCATGATCATGAGGCAAAATCGAATATTTTATGTACCAGTAGTGAAAACCCCACTTGAGAAGGCCATTGCTCTTCTCGCACATTACAGGGTTTGTCCGGAAAGTAATAGGACTGGGTCGATTTAAAAAAATTTATTGAGCCAATCGTTACAATTCTTTAAAAACTTTCAAAATAGGCTCCTTCTGCGTCGATGCAGCGCTGAAAGCGCGATTTCCAAGCATTGGAGGCGTCACGGAAGGCATTCTCCGGAATAGCCTTGCCTGCTGCTTGGATCCCCTCTGTCGTCTCAAACTGCTTGCCTTGGGGGGCACATATGGGCTTTAAGGTGGCTGCGGAAGCGTTGGGATGCCGGCCTTGGTCAGGTAGCTGTTCACAAGAAAGGCGGTGTGAGCCGGGGCGTTGTCGTGGTGCAACTTCCAGTCGGCTGCGATGTCTTGTCGGACCCGACTGACCCTTCGTTTGAGTCCCCTGAGCACTTCCACGTAAAACTTGGCGTTGACGGTTTGTCCAGGAGGAACAAATTCATGATGGGCGATGCCTTTGATGTCAAAAAATACAATGAGCATCGTTCTCACTTTGGATTTGCTCATTCTTCCCTTTTTCGGGCGAGAAGACGCCGTCGTGTGCCACTCGGAAGATTGCCTCTTTGTCTCGGGATCATACTCAAAGATCCACGACTCGTCAAATTTTGATTACGTTATTCAAAAATTGGGTATCACTTTCAAACATGTTCAAATTTTCTTGGCACACTTCCACTGGCCACAATTTCTGGTCGTCAGTGAGCACTCTTAGGACCATCTTCGCGCACACCTTGAGCATGTTCAAATGCTGTGTCACAACGTCATGAACCACAGATTTTGGTAAATTTAACATCTGGGCAAGTAAACGAATACTTAGTCGACGGTCTGAGTTCAAAACTTTGCGCACACGAGTCACATTATCGGTGTTTGTCGAAGTCGAAGGTCTTCCAGCACGGTCTTCATCAGCGACGTCTTCCCGGCCCTCCAAAAAGGACTGGTGCCACCGAAACACACCACTTCTTGCTAATGCAACACCTGGGTAAGCCTGCTTGATCATACCAAACGTCTCTGTTCCCTCTGCTCTAACGAACGCTGCATTTTCGGCTTCCACCACTCACAGAAACACGTCGCGCGAAAATGCCTGTCCTGACTATCCAAGTGCTCGGAGACAACTGACCAGCCGCTCATTCGTTAGCTAGGAACGCCCTCTACCGAATCCAGTCGGTGTGCGCACGCTCCGAAGTACAGTCATGGCGGAAGAAAATGAGTCCTATTACTTTCCGGACAAACCCTGTATATCACTCGGCACTATGCGCTTCAGGTTATAAAACTACTCGCCCAATAATTGCTCACGTTTCAAAGTACGTATGTAATGTACTAGTAATGCTCATTCATCACTGTACACGTGGTCTTGGTAAGGACGTCCATGCTTCGACAATAGCCTCAGATTAACAGGACAACCTGGTGGCATAGGACCAAGGATTGATACCATCGATTCGTCAAGAACACTTGGGATGTTGCTATCAAAAGCTAACATTTGTTAAAAAATCCATACAAGAATCGCTTGCAAGCCTTCCTCCATCGAGGATATTTTGAAATCTGAACACGATTGATCGCACAAGCTGTTCGAATTCTCTCCAAATGCTCCTCTTAAATTCGAAATAATTTCTACTTCTGTGTGTTTTATCAGAGATAGGACCAATTGGATAAGTTTCCAGCCTGAGGCGAATTTTAAATTACCAGCTTCAACTTTATATTACTTTACTTATCTAAATTGAACCAATATTACGACGTCCCAAGTGTTTTATAGCTTTATAATAACCAAGCTTATTTCTTCTTCTCTCTTCCTTCGTTTCCCTGCCGAATCGTCGACGAAGTTAGATTATGTTGAAACGTTGCACAAAATCGTTAATGATACGAGGTCATTACGCAAATTTCTAATATATCTAGCATCCGATTAGATCAGATATGCACCACTTATTCTCATTCTTGGCATTAATAACAATAACTCCAAAACTGTTCAAAACAGGTGTTATGAACCAGAAACCAAGTTCCCATGTAAATCTATTTAATAATGTAGAAATATACAGCATGTTCCATCAGAAATTTGTGAGAAACGGTGCGTTGCGTTTTGAGATCCTGTAGAAATAGAAAGATATTTTAGCATTTTTTCCAGATCACCTAAGAATCGATAATAAAATTTGAACTCGGATTTATCTAAATATCTTCAAAAATGACAGCTGCGAGCCCTCAAAAAAGGGCATTTCTTCAGATGTTTTTTCTTTCTCTGTACAAGTTTCGGGTGCTGCCGTTCCGACTACATTATCCATACTGGATGCTGTTCAGAAAAAAGGCTGTCCCACTGGTCGATGACACTTCTCTAACAAACCGCTGCCGTTATGCCAGCGGGCTTTGATCTTTAGATCTCTGCTCCAAGGTACCACGGCACGTTGAGCTTGCCAGACGGACACGTCAGACTTCGGCTACCCGTCCTATACTTGTCGAACTTCGTACATGACTTCGTACGATTGCTCCTTTTTTTAGAACAATCTTCCCAAAGAAGCTTTTCCCAGGTCTGCTAACCTTGGGCAGATCTAACATCGGATTAACAAAGCATCTCGTTCGCATTGGTTTCTAGCTATATGGCTAAATAAAACAAAATAAACATGCTTATAACTCATGTTACTAACCAAGATGATTGGAGTAGGAAGCTATTCATAGCAGGGCAATGTTTCTTGGCTACCAAATATAGTCAGGTTACATTCGCCTTGTGATTTTCATGGCAATGTTGCACCTAGCTGCTATGAGTGAAATATGACCTATCCTAGTCTGCTAAATATCATCTGAGTGATCTTTTTGAAATTTTTCCAAGCCGCAGGATTGACTCTAGTCAAGACTATTGATGTGAGGCCGTATAGATAGACTGACGACGCTAATTGGTTCAAAAACAATTTGAGATCAGAAAACATTGGAATTTCTAAAATAAATCAGGTAACATTCCGAGTGGGACCCTGAAGGTTAAATATCTATAGGGTGACGTACAGATCATAGTGTTCGCGGGTGCTCTTCGCCGTAACACTTCATAGATATAACTTTCTGGAAACAGGAGTTCTAAAAATCTGTGAAATATCACATAGTTCCAATTTTTATGGCCATAAGCGGTGTAGCATCCGATTTAGTTTAGTAACAATTGGAAAAGTATCTGCACGAAATCCAAGCTTTTTCCAACTGAAAATTGCTTACTTGACCAATCGTCGGTCCATTTGCTGTCCGCCACAAAAAATGTAATTTATAACTTTACGAATACAGCAGTTTTTCACGATCTAGCTCAGTAACAAAAAGGAAATGTACGCTTCCGATTCAATTTTTTTCTAACCTCAAACTGCTTTCTTGACCAATCAGCCTCCCTTTAAACAGGTTATACGATACTGAGTTTTGTTGCATGCAAGCCGCATGGTACTGATATGTGTCAAAACGGAAGGCAAAACATGAATTTCTATAAACAAAGCAAAGTGTTTAGCGGAGATCACTCAAGATGTAGAATCCTTGTAATTTGATCTAAATATCACGTAGAAACATGCTTCGAAAAATTAGCGTGGCAATACATCATCTTGCTACCCGAAGTAACTGAAGTAAGAAGTTTTCTTCATATTAGGACAAAGTTGCCCGGCTTTCTCGTTGCCGTGCCTGGTAAGTCATTTAAAATTAAGATTAATTACAGCTCTGTTTTTCATGACTGTGTACTTTAATTATTTCAAGCGCACCAACTTATTTAGCTATTTAACTTTCTTACTTTCCAACTTTCAAAACCATATTTCTTATTCAAGCTGAAAATATGGCCTCTTTATGAGAACTTCGCCGACTCCGTCTAATATTTATTAATGGTTCCCTGAGGATTTTGAAAAACTTTCTCAGCTTTGTTTTTGCACGTCTTGAAGTTGGTGTTTCCTTGCATCGTGCAGGTTGGGATGCATCGACGTTTTTAAACAAAATAGTTTTCGTTTGTAAAAGACACTGATGATATCTGTTGAGAACATTCTAACTTCTAATTTTGTAAAATGCCGGCATAAGCATCAGCCTAGAGTACTTTTCACATGTCTGATTGGTTCTTGATGGTCGGTGACATTAGCAAAAAACTGACATTGTAATCGCAATCTACGCACCGGACGTGCCAGGAATACAAAAAAGTTTGTGCTTGCACCTATGAATTTTATTTATATACAACAAATTTCCTATAAGTATACTAGTTAAATATAAAAATTACATCAATTTTTATCAAATAACATATTGATTTTTGATGTCGATAGGTTTATGAATTTTGTGGCATTTTACATTATTCCAATTTTGAAACGTTTGTTACATCTTACATGTCTAAGGATTGAAGGAGTAGTGTTATAACGTTTTGAACCTAGAAAGCAGAATGATCTTTGGCTGATTGATAGTTTCTTTATACAGAAGCGTACACACAGGCAGAAGCCTAAATTCCAGGGCACCGCGGCTGCTATGAAGATCCCAAAGAAACTTTGTTAACGTTTTATTTAGTCTGGGGATAAGTGCACTTCTGCGTAATTTCATTTTTTTTATAATAATTATTCATGAATCCACCCCACGCTAAGATTCCATAAGATGGAACGTATAAGGGCATGATATATCATGTGTACATATTTTTCGCTAAAAAAAACTACTGAAATGTTTGATTTTTGGAATATTGACTTTATTAAATGTTCAACGTATGTATTCCATCTTAGATGATTGTCTACGAATATCTCTAAATATTTGAAAATATCAGCTGATTATGTGTTTTTGTACCTATTCAACGTTTTAATTTGGAGTTTATTAAAGTTTGAGGACGTAAAAACATGTCATAAAATGTGTTTCGTTGAAATTGAAAATTATCTTTTTGAGCTTTAAAGCTTCTCAAGGTAAAGCTCAGTATATTGGACTAATTTGAAAAGCTGACTTTAAATATATCAATTGAAAACTACCAGTGCACATGGAGCCATGGAGCCAAAATTTACGTTTTACGGTTTTAGCCTCCCACTAATATAAACAATTGATTCAGGTTCCTGATTTATGAACTCAATCACACTCTTTCGTTAGAATGCCTCAATCCGACGGATGGTACCTTCTAACGATATGCCTACATACTTTGTTCCTCTGAGCTCTCATTCATGATGCAGCGCACTGTGGTGAATGCGTCTTGTTTTTCTGATCAAAAAGTCCTAGTCAAAAAGACTCCTCCGAAAACCCCTTATATCGCACAAGTACCTAATTATGTACGAAAATCGTTCCAACTCTACTTCTATACCAACTATACTTAGTGACATATAAATCCGAACACCCAGTTTGAATGGTTTTATTTTAATAAAATTTTGTATAAGTACTTAATGAAGCATAATAAGTAAATGATAAACTTTTCAAAATGATTGCACTGCTTTAAAGCCCTTTGACCTTTAATAATGTGTGGATGCACCCTGATGTGCTACGCATTCTCCAACGTGCCTAGGCATGCTTCTGATCAGGTGGTCAATGTCCTCCTGTGGTATCTCATTCCAGGCAACCACCAACTCCTCTCGAAGTGCTTCTAGAGTCTGAGGAGGACGTTGCAAATTGAGCAATCTCCTAACCATCATATCTCACACGTGCTCAATTGGGGATAAGTCGGGAGATCTTGGTGGACATGGTAACAATGTGACATCATTATGTTGAAAGAAGTCTATTGTGACTCTTGCAACATGTGGTCGGGCATTATCTTGTTGGAAAGTTGGATCTGCTAGGGTGTCAAGATAGGGTAAAAGATGGGGTTCTAGAACTTCGTGGATATAACGCTGCACGTTCATGTTACCTCTGATGAAGATTAAAAGTGACCTGGAACCATAAGCTATAGCACCCCAAACCATAACTCCAACAGTGTGATGAACATGTCTTTCAACAAAAACCTGTGGATTCCTCCTTTCACTACGTCGCCTTCTAACCCTGGCACGACCATCGTGCATGCCTAAACAAAATCGAGACTCGTCACTAAAGACAATACTGTTCCATTCCTGATCCCAGAGTGACCGTTGTGGCCGGTATGAAAACAAGCCAAAACTTCTCATTCGTCGGTAAACACTTCGCATGCCAATAGGTCTTCCGTGTTCTGCAAACCATTCATTTGCAATGGACCTGGTAGTGGAGAAACAGTCCCTTAAGGCCTATAATCTTAGGCGGCGATCTTCACGGTCTGTTGTTCTACGGCGGCGTCCAGTGCCCCTTGCTCTTTGCGTACGGCCTTCTCGAAGCCATGCCTGACAACACCTAACCACAGTGTCTACACTTCTTTGCACTCTAACTGCAATTGCCCGAAAAGAAAGTCCAGCTTCCCGAAGTCCCACTATACGGCCCCTATCAAACTCACTAAGTTGACGGAATCGTACAGGTCTCCGTACTCTAGGCATCGTAACTGATCGTAAAGGATGTCAAGAACCAACATCCACCAACGTTGATTCTTTACTGCGGCTGAAATATTCATTTTTAGAGCGTTAGCGAAT